AGATTATAAAAATCTACTATATTAAACACTATTACTATATTAACTATATAAAGTACTAGTTTATTACTATTAAGATATATTATATTAATAAGAATCTTATAGTTAAACTTATTATTATTATATAGTATAAACTTAAAGTAACTAAGGGCTTTAGAGTATAATTAGTAATAGTAGTAGTACTTATTAATAGCTTTAATTAATAAAAAAGAGGTGTTTTCTATAGTGTATTTAAGTAACTTATAAAGTTACTAAATAGATAAGTAGCTAAATTACTAGTAGATTTAGTATAATTTTCTATCTATTAGGTATTACCTAGTAATACTTTTCTCTAGTAGTTATAAAAGTATTTATAGGTAGCTAAATTAGTAAATAATAAGTATAATATTATTACCTTAGATTAGCTAGTTAGCTAGGTTATTAAATTTTATACTTTAATAGTCTATATCCTTTAAGTAAAAGAAGAATAAAGTATTAGTAATAATTATATAAAAAATAAAGTTACTAAGTAGTATAAGTATATTAATTACCCCTAAGGATTTAAAGTAATTACTACTACTAAAGTAAATACTTACTTTACTTACTTAGGTAGTATTTATAAGTATCTTTTTACCTAAGTAGTACTAAAGGGTAAAGTATTACTTATAGCTAGTAGTTAATTTCTTAGCTACACTAGTGTTAAGTATAATACTATAAAAAGTTACTACTAAATAGTGCTTATTAAGTGTAAATATTTTATTAGTTTTTATAGTTTTACTAAGTAGTAGCTCCTTTAGTAGGTTCTTATAAGTAAGTATATAGGTAGTTACCTAGTTATATAACTTAGAGAAGATAGTTAGGCTATTAATTAATAGTTATATAAAGAAAGTAGTAAATATAAAGAACACTATATCTATATAGTTATTATTATTACTAATAGGTTATTTATTACTATTACTTACTTCTTAGAGATAACTTATATTATAATGTTTATAGTTAAGAAGAAAGTAGTTAAAGGTAGCTAGTAAAGCTTATATAAAGTAGGTGCTTTTATACTAGTTAAATAAGGATTACTACTCTTCTTTAGTATACTTAGTTAACTAATAACTAGGTTTACTATAAATAAAGTACTTCTTAGTTAATTTATTATTATACTAGTTTTTACTATAGTAGTTATTCTATAAAAAACCTTATATTTACTATAGATTAGTATAATTATTATAGCTACTATTATACTTATACTTAACCTAAAACTACTTATCCTCTATAGTAGATTTATCTATAGGGTATTATATAGGTAGCTTATAGTAAAGTAAAGTATTTACTACTTTATTATATAGTTATATATAAAGGCTATAGAATATAGCTAGTAGGTTAAAGAAAGCTATAGTGTACTTAGGTATACTATAGTAATAGGTAATAAGGTATTTATAATAATCTTTATCCTTAGGTAGACTATTATAGGTAGTTACTTTAACTAGTTTAGTAACCTTTTTAATAAGTAACTTAAGGATCTTAAGTTTATTTTTACTATAGTTTTTATAAGTAATTAAGTTAAATAATATATAGTAAAGCTTAGTAATATAGGCTAAGTGTACCTTATTACCTTTAAATTATTCTTTAAGCTTTACTTTTAGAGTATTAAAATTATCTACTAATTAGTAAAAAGTAAAGATATAATACTCTTGTAGTTTACCTTAAAGTATTACTTAAATTACTACTCTATAGTAGTCTTATGTTATACTTACCTAGATATAAAGGTTATAGAATAATAGTAATTTTAAGTTAATAGTCTTATACTAGCTACTAGTATACTTTATAGCCTAGTTATTAAAGTATATCTTTATAAGGTTACTTATTTACTTTAGCGTTAGCCTTAATATTACTGTTAATATTATAGTTAATAAGAGCTTTTATAGTAGTACAGTAGTTATTATATATAGGCTATAAACTTTAGCTATTATATAAGGTTTTAGTGTTTATATAGGCAGTAGTAAGGTAAAAGTTAAGTTATTATAAAAGGTTTAGTAGCTAGTTACTAGTAATAAGTATATTTTAACTATTTTTACTTTATATATAATTATCTTATAGTCTTTAATATCTTTAATAAAGTTAAGGTCTTTAAGGTATTTTTTAAAGTTATATAATAATCTCTTAATAATAGTAATTATTTTATTAGTCTAATAGATGCCTTCCTCTTATTAAAGGGTATTAAATATATACTAGGTAATTAATAGGTATTTACTATAGTTAACTTATACTCTATAGTTAATAAGAAAGTTATATAGACTTATTAAGACCTTTAGGTTAATAGCCTTAAAGTTACTAATAAGCTAGTTAGTAAGGTCTTTTTATATATAGTAAAGTAATTTACTACTAAGGTAGTTATTATACTTAGATTTACTAAGGTAAAATATAAAAATAGTATTAAGTATAAAAGACTATTACTTTTCTATAAGGTTAGTTAGTAACCTTATAATATAATCTCTCCCTTATTAGTATAAAAGAATATACTATATAAAGGTAAAAGGTATAGTAATAATATTATTTATTACTATTATCTTTTTTACTATATTAGGTAGTATATTATATTTACTATAAATCTCTTCTTTTTATTATCTTATAAGTAAAGGTATAGTAACCTAGAAGCCTTACTTACTTATAAGCTTATCTTATTTACTTATCTTAGCTTAGGTCTTCTGCTTATAGGTATAGTGTTATTTACTATTACCCTCTATTAGCCTAATAACCTCTTAAATATAGGCGTTTTTTCTAGTAGACTAAAAAGTATATATGTTTATTAGAGGAATTACTACTAGTAGTATAAATAGCTAGAAAAAAACATACTCTTATAAGTAAATAACTTAGGGAAAAACAATAGGCTATTATATTAGCTACTTATTAACGCTATTAGTTAGTAGAAAGAGAAAAAATAATAGGCTATTATATTAGTAACTTATTAATACTATTAGTTAGTAAAAGGAGTATATATATAGGAAAAGAAGTTAGTAAGCTAAAGAGCTTATAATAAATAAGATATAGTAAATAATTACTAATTAGCTATAGGTATATAAAGTAAAGGGTTTTTTATAATTAAAAGTACTTTTCTAAAGGCAATAAAGCTTATATAATAGACATAAATTAATAGGGTTTCTACTAGTTAAGAGGACTAGTTATAGATTTATTAATTAACCTATTATAATAGGTAATTAGTATAATATTATAGTAAAGGTATTTATAGAGGTATTTTTTAGTCTTTGCCTACTCTAGGTATATAAATAATTAACTAGTAATAATTACCTCTTCTTATAGTCTTTACTAATTTATAGTTTAGATAGTAAAGTTAACCTATATAGTTAATAGTAAAGTTAACTACTAATTAGTGTTAGTAATACTAAGGGATAAGTTAATATAGTTAACTATATATATTAGTAGTAATTAATAAATAATAAAGGTAACTATAGTTCTCTATTATATATAAAGAAAAAAAGGATAATTATTATAGGTTAGTTAGTTAAATAACTAACTTATTACCTATAAATCCTTAGAGAATCTATAGCTAAATATCTAAGGATTTGCTAGCGATAAGTCATTAGGGTTAACCTAATAACTCTAATATTTATCTGCGATGGTTAACATTACAACAAATACTTTTTATTAATTAGTACTAATCTTTATAGTTAACCTATTTCTTAGTATAAATAATAAACAAAAATAAAAGATATATAAATCTAATTTTAATACTATAAAAGGGTAAGTAGTAGAAGATTTATATTATCTAAGGACCTAGGTAGTATATTTATTAAATTAATATTTTTTCTTGTATTATTCTCTTAGGGTACAAAGGTTATTAGCCTGTTATTCTTGTCTTTTCTTTCCCGTCGGCGCTAATCTTGTATCTATCCCATTTAACAACCTGGGACCAAGGGATGATATGTTTCACCGCAACTTCTTCTTCAATGGCGTGATTGTTTTGGATGCCGTCTTCGATATAAGCCTGATTAATATCAATCGCATTCCTGAGGCCCTCTGTCTTGATGTAATAGATCCACACATCCCTGCCCTTGAAATGCCTTCCGAAGTATCCATAAATCCAGTCATAATCTTTAGAGGTTGAAATGAACGGATCTTGGTTATATCCTGGTTTGCCGGGCTCCATTTTAACGTGTTGATCATAGCTCATGTCAGAATCCTTGGGTTCACCAAATGAGCCGCCGCGCGGGAGGAAACCGCCATGAGCTCTGATTGTCTCAGGACTGCGAGCGTCGCCCCGGTAAATTATTGGCGGGAGGTTTGCAGTAGCAAAAGCTACTAGCATGCTAAGGATTTTGAATTGCATTTTGAATTCAACACAAGGAGGGGGAAAGATGCATTGAAAATTAATGGAAGCTGATTTGCAAGAGAAGGATTCAAGGCGATACTGATGAAAATAGTGGTGAAGCGGAAATAGTCACATTAAGAAGAAAACAATACTTTACTTACTCCGTTTTGTGATAAAGTAGCCACTATGGACCTATATTATGTAATTATGTTTAGAGACTAAGATTAGGCATGAAAATGTTTATAAGTACTGGTAGCGGGTAAATTGCCAGTGCACTTTTAGTAAAATGCTAGTGTCTAACCTAATCAGGAAAGCAGCTGGAAATACTATATTCCATTACGCTAACTCTAACTAACCCAAATCCTAACCCAAACCCTAACCTCACCCTAACCACTTTATTATATGTTTTCTAGTTTTACAGTAGTTAGGGTGAGGTTAGGGCTCAGGTTAGGATTTAGGTTAGTTAGAGTTAGGGTGATGGAATATGGTATTTTTAGTTGAATGTTGAGGAGAAGTGGCAGTGATTGTGGCAGTGGTGGCGGTGCTCCCAAATCGGGTTAGAAACTGGCATTTTACCAAAAGTGCACTGGCATTTTACCCGTAACCATAAGTACTTAATAGATAAAAGTTAGTAATATTAAAGTTAATCTAAAAACCACTCTACTTTACCGGCCACGCCGAATCAGGGGTCAGACAAAGGGGTCTACTTACCCTAGCTTTAAATGAGTCTTTCCAGCGTGTCGTTAATTAGGATTCCCCTCTTCTCTCCTTAGTTAAGAAGCTTTTTTGATAGTGCCTAATACACTGAGGCTCTCTAATATTTTATGTATGCCTGACCGTGACATTGCCTGCGTATGCTAGCCGCCATCCTGCCCCTTCATTGACGAGGTTCGCTTAGTGTAGCCTAAATAATAAGACCGGGCAAAGGTGAGAGCCTTGCGGGGTGCCGCACCCAAGCCGCTCGAAACCCGTGGTCGTACCCTCCAGCTGGACTTGGGCTTGGCGGTCCTTTGAGAAGTTACTCACAAACCTAAGGAGCATTCTATAGAACCCGAGGGTCAGCGCTTTCCATATCAATCGCCCAGGTAGGAGGGCGTGGAAGGCGCCTTGGACATCCCATGTGACGAGGGTAACTTCCCCCCCGCAAGCTAGGGCCCGCTCGATATTGTGGACGAGGGCACAGACCAGATCCGTAGCCGACCGCTTGGGTAGGGCACCGCCGTGGGTGCAGCTAAGGAGCCCGTTGCCATGTATGGCCCACGCCATCCGGCGTGCAACGAGCTTTTCGAGGCCTTTCCCAATACAGGAGAGGAGGGCTATAGGGCGCCAAGACCGAATGCTGCTTCGGTCTTTCCCCCCATTTTCGGTAGCATAGCCACTTCGGCCTTTGTCCAGGGCGCTGAGAAGTGTCCGAGTTCCAAGCAACGCTGGTAAAGCCCGCGCACCCGCTCGGCCAGCGAGACCCATCCGGCCTTTAGAAGCCGTACGGTGATTACGTCAATGCCCGGAGACGTGCTAGTTGCCCCAATGTAGGAATGCTCCGCCTCTTCCGCACTAACCTGGGTATCCTAAAAGTAGGTAGTCAGGAGCGAGCGATGAGCCTACAGTGGGAAATATGCCGGATCGACATTCCGTGCACGCTTTTGCTCTATGTGGTTAATTTACTAATGTAGCTGTACCAACTCTTTCGTTTTGTCAGCCAGGAATGTGACTCTTTTTCTGTCTTGGCTACATCATTTAAAAATTAAGAGAGAAGCAGGGTAGAGGGGTACTAAAGTTGGTTATGGAAGCACAGTAGCTTGATAACAACAAGACCTATATACATAAAATCTGTATATTAAATGGAGAACAGCAGAGGGTAGCAGAGAACCAAAGCCTCCAGCTGAGTCGCCGGTCCGGGCGGTTAATCTACGTAGCCTTCAGCAACTAACAACTATCTTGTACTCAGTCAGTAGCTAAGATCAAGCTGTATTAAGTTTGTCCCTTGCGTTTTTGTATAGAGGGTGCTTTTTTAGAATAGGAGTTTACTAGTTCTGTTTATAAGGCTATAGCTATCTATACAACTAGGTACCGTACATAACGTAGGCGGTAGGGCCACGCTTTGTATCCGTACAGGTACAAAGAACGAGTAATTCGCCGTAATTAACTCATGCAAAATGTACAGAGTACTTTAAGCAGGAAATCCTCGGCCTCGGCGACGCAGTAGGCCCACCCGCAAAAATTTAATATTAATTTTACAGCACAAAGCAGAGCCCATTACTCAATAGAATTCTAACCCCCTGTAAGTATTACTAGTATATAGGAAGATGACCCCTGTTACAAGTAGATACAGGTACAAACGTATATATTTAGGCACCTTAGGCAGGTACCTCGACATAGCAAAGCAATAACAACGTTAATAACGCCAGGGAAGCCTAAAATCTTCAAAGTCGTATCTTCTATATGCCTTTTAGTAGCTGAAGTCCTGTGACTACTAGTATCTAAACAAACCTATCCTTTCTTAGTATACAGAACCAAACGCAAATGCTCCATGCTGTAACAGGATTGGGTGGTGTGCCAACGCCCGACAATAGACCATTCTGGCAACTGCCAAAAGACCCGCCAGTTCTGGCACTCTGTACCAGAGCTGCACCACAGATGCCGTTATAAGTGCCTCGATTGGCGATCTCTTTACACATGCATTATATATAGTATTAGGTATCACAGTTCCCTGCGTGTGCTCCAGCTGCCTTGCATCTCTAGGGAAAATAAGTACTAAGTTACTATAATATATAAAGGACCAACTTACGTTAGACCAGTCTAGTGTAGTACCATGTGGTTTCATACAGTACACTATATGTCCTTCTGTAATTACAAGAGAGTGAGCACTTTTGCACGCTCTTCTTGTAAAACGCTCTGTCTTATAACCATCAAAAGTACACCTATTATATATTAGATAAGGTTTAACTTAGGGGCAGGAAAACGTACCAGCATTTAGCCTGTGCAAGAATAATCAAAGTAGATATAATGGAAACAGTAGCTAACTTCATGGTAAAATTCAACAGAGAATTAAGAAGGAGTAGTGATAACTTAAGTAAAGGTCAAGGAATAGATGACGAGAGATATGCTATAGACTCAAGGCAGGTTAAGTCCTTATAAGGGCAAAAGTTTTGCTTTAGAGTGAGTTAGAGACCACTACGTATACTTCCTCTGGAATAACACTCAGAAGTAATAGGATTATGTTAAACTAAAGCTAACGATATTAATCTTAATATATAAGATTATAAAGCAGAATTACAAAGGGTAAGTTTATATCTCTTACAGTACTATATAAACTTATTAACCTATTTATAGGCCTAGCCTTTTAATTCTATAGAACAGTTAGCTTATAAGACTTAAATACTATAAATTTGTTGGCTCTCCCCTAATTTAGGGGTAAGTGAGGTCATGTAGCACTCTAAGGGATAGTGTTACTAAATTAATTGCCCTCTAGCTATTAAAGGGTGTGTTAATTAACTGCTCCCTGGCGCACCCGAGACAGTGGGGCGATGTTGCTAAGATTAATTACTACGTGTAATAGGTAAGTAAAAACTCCCTAACAGGGGTAGCGGTTCATAGGCAGACATATTGTGGGGCTGGCATCTGTGCGCATGTGTTCCTCAGGGGCTTTTGCCCTAGTGGCCACCTATTGTCAAAGCGTGGCAATTGACCATGTGCAATTGTAGGTCAAATATTACTGTCATTAGCTAGATAGATTTCCTTACCCAAAAGGTAGCAATTTAGATAACAAATACATTAGTTAAAGGCTATAAATTTAAGGCAGTAATAATAGTAAGTTTGAAATATATAGACTATTAATATATACCTAATTAACTAAGGATAT